TCCAGGGGCGCCGGAAGGTCTGAAAAACGGCGGGGGCAGAATCTTGAAAAGGGCACTTGATCGCCGAAGGCGCGAGACCTCGTAGGGTGGCCAGGGGCATCCTCCCCCGGGAAATTTTATATCTAGAGTCTCTCTTTTATATCTAGAGTCCATTTCATGCGTTTTGGGCAGAGATTTGACATAATTTTGAGAATTAATAAACGTCACGTAAAATACAAAAAACAGTGAAAGTTTTAAGTATATGCATGGGTGGGATATTTTGGTAGCCGATGAAGTCTCACAGTTTGCAGCCAAATATTTCTATACGTTGTACACTAACTAGATCAGATTTTTAATAGATTTTTAGTAGATTATGAATAAATTGAGTAGATTATAACATATGTAGGTCGCGAAGATTGTGCAAGGCAAAACAAAAAGAGCTCACACTATTGTTACAATAGCAAGCTAACGCAAATACAGTTCATGCAAATATACTCGCACAATAATGTAGAGTAAACCAAATTGATATATATATATATAATAAGATCAAGGAATATTAATAAACCGATAATAACCGATTGTAACACTGTATAAAAAACCCGATAATCTTTATATAGATTGCATAACAATAGTCTTTGTTAAAGTGTTCTTTAGCTGGTATAAAGACGTATGCTCGTGACTAATTTCTTACTCAAGATTGGATAATTGCTTCATGAATTATTAATGAGTTTTTGAAATATATATAAGTATTTTAGGCTGATTTTAACTAACTTCGGCGGTATATGTTAGTGAGGTAACCGAGCTGTTTGCTCTTTTGACTGCTGAGAATTACGTTTTTAGAAGATAAAGATTAAAGATCTGATTTCAAAATTATTCCAAGAGAAACAATTTTTTCGGGGGGCAGACGGCAGCCTGGTCGAGCATTTGTGGACGGATACATTGCTAGTCCTGGCTATGTCCCTAGCTGGAATGCTCTAAAAATCATCTAGAACAGAGGAAAACTTATCGCGAATGCGTTATTGTAGTGCCAGAGCGTGACTGCGCTAATCGACTACAGAAATTTAGGTGTGTCAAGAAACTAGAAAAATGTAGAAGGCTTATATAACTAACAAGACGATTAACGCGCGTAACCTGCGTAATGCGTAAATGAACCATGAAATGAACGTGGTCATAATATATATACTTATACATATGACGGTAAGTCAACAATAATAACTTATTAGTTAATGCCTTAACCTTTTGTTATCACAAAAAGGGGCAACCAGTTGCCCCCGCACTGCCCCCCCCCCTGTTAGGGCAGCGGGGGCCACTGCCCCCGTGGCTCCGGCGCCCCTGCCACAGTCAGAACGAACAACACGAACGACATTGGTATGACAGCGACTACATTTAGGGAACGTTACGCTAACCATACTTCATCTTTTCGTCATAAAAAGACTCAAACAAAACGGAACTTTCGGCGAACATATTTGGAAATTAAAAGAAAACAATCAGGATTATACCATCAAATGTTCAATTTTAAAACACGCTATTTCGTACACAGGGGGATCAAAACGCTGCAATTTATGTTTGGAAGAAAAATTTTGCATTTTGAAAGACATAAACGAAGACAGTTTACTCAATGAAAGAAGCGAAAGGGCCAAGTTGAGCTACATTCGCTGGATATTAAGCTGGCAACAGGCATGGAAAAGAAGAAATTCGTTCATGGCATTACCATCACAAAAAATAACATCATTCCCAACTTGGCCTTGTAGCTCAGAAGGTAGAGCGTCGTTCTGGAAATGCGAAGGTCGCAGGTTCGATTCCCAGTCGCGGTCAAGTAGAATTAATTTTCTATTTATACCCGGCTCATACATCACGGGTAGAATTTCAGGGAAAAGATCATATACAACAGTCGCTATTAAGCTGGCAACAGGCATGGAAAAGAAGAAATTCGTTCATGGCATTACCATCACAAAAAAATAACATCGTTCCCAAGTAGGCCTTGTAGCTCAGAAGGTAGAGCGTCGTTCTAGAAATGCGAAGGTCGCGGGTTCGATTCCCAGCCGTGGTCAAGTAAAATTAATTTTCTGCTTATACCCGGCTCATACTCGTAAGAACATCAAAACACCTACACATTACATCACAAGTAGAATCTCAGGAAAAAAATTATATATATATACATTAACCATCAATTTGATTGTAACTCTCAGGGGGTGATTTATTTAATTACTTGCGGAAAATGTAGTAAACAATACGTGGGCAATATGGTAACGTCATTTCGTCTTAGATTTAATAACCACAAAAGTTCGATTAATAGATTTTCTAAGGGCCAAAGAGGTTTATGTGGTCAACATTTGTATGAACATTTTTTTGAGGAGGGCCATTCGGGTCTTAAAGATTTTAGAGCACAGATTATCGATTTCACGGATGTTAATAAACCTACAGAGAGGGAACGTTTTTGGACTGAAAAATTGAATACATATGTACCACTGGGATTAAATTTCAGAGAGGAATATTAATGTAGGTCTATATTAGTGTATGTTAATTAGGATTAGGCGGAAAGTATTTAAGGACATGGATTTGAACTTATTTCGTTTCCGAAACGTATCCCGAAACGTATCCTTACTTTATGTATTTATTTATTTGAAGTTTAATAAAATTTATTTTCAATTTGAAGCTATATATATATATATATATATATATATATATATATATATATATATATATATATATATATATATATATATATATATATATATATATATATATATGAATGTGTTTGAGGAAATATGTCCGGACTAATATGAACTTTTGTTGTAGTGCTTCTTCAGACATAAATTTATAAAAATATTTACAGTGATTTTCCTTCCGTTTCGCCATACGTTTCGCCTGCACTGAAGAGGAGGCCGTAACAGACGAAACGTATCGAAAATAAATATTTTTATAAATTTATGTCTGAAGAAGCACTACAACAAAAGTTCATATATATATATATATATATATATATATATATATATATATATATATATATATATATATATATATATATATATATATATATATATATATATATGTCTTTATATATATATATATATATCTATATCTATATCTATATATATATATATCTATATCTATATATATATAAACAAGTTATTCTTCGTTGAAAGACTAAAAAGAGTATATACCAAATATGTATTTAGAATCATATGTGAGTATAGAGTGCTCGATATACCGAAGTATAGAGCTAATAAAGATAAAGATAAAATTATATCTATATCTATATATATATATATCTATATCTATATATATATAAACAAGTTATTCTTCGTTGAAAGACTAAAAAGAGTATATACCAAATATGTATTTAGAATCATATGTGAGTATAGAGTGCTCGATATACCGAAGTATAGAGCTAATAAAGATAAAGATAAAATAAACCTGGTTTACTTCATAA